TTTCGTCACTAGTACATGTACTACGTAGTGACAATAAAGTTGAAACAAAAAATGGCCCCTTTAAAGTCCTTGCAATCATGCGCCAGCTTTAAGGACACAGGGGGAAAGAACTTCTGAAAAGAGGTTTCTTTCAAGGAAGTTGAAAAAGCTAACCCCCTCTCTGTAAAGTGCCCTTGGTGACATGATATTTCTTTTAACTTGGCAGTCATTTGAAGGTGATATTGAGGTATGACTTTGCACTTGCCAAATTTGCCAAGTCCAATACTAAATTCTCTCTAAAACATGTATCTGTGACAAGGGAATTCTGTGAATCACTTTGCCTTAGCAAGCTCCATAAGAGGTCCAAGATGTCAAGGTCAGCCTCCCAAAAGTGCCTCTGACAGGAAGTCACATTGTCACATGTGAAAAAGCACTTCCATGTAGTTAATACTCTTCCACGATGAGACTTGACAAGCAACTTCTCTAATTATTGACCACCTTGCTGAGCTGAAGTTTATCCTTGCATCACCATCCAGACCATGATGTGTTATATTTGTTCTTGTTATTATCTTTTGCTGCCTGTCTCAGATTCCTCACTTGACTCCAGTCATCCACGTCAATGCTCCAGCTTGATGCTGTGCCCTGTGCCTGCATTAACAACCTCAGCTCAGACATTATGATGAGTGAGGAAGAGCAAAATAAGAACAATTATAATTTTCTCTTCACACTCGGCAGATGTCAGGGCCCACATGTGGAGGCAGCTAATTGCTCTCTCCAAATCAACTGCGCCATAATACTACAACCATATGTCAGCTATTCTGTGTGTGGCTGCGGAGAGGGGTGCGTCATACAGAAAAAGAGTGTGTTTCTTGGTTGTGTGTGTAAAGAAAAAAAAAGCCAGGCTAATGCATGTGTCATGTTGGTGTACTGATGAACGTACTCGCCATCAGCTGTTCACACCCACAAGAGCAGAAAGAATCATATGGTAAGAAGACACGGAGCGGAGCAGCAACACGCCAACTACCTACTCACACGCTACGCATAAGGCCATCATGCTTTTGTGGCATGGTATTCATATTTTAGGCACACTCACACATGCATGCAAACATACACATGAGTGTGCCAACCCCCCAACACTCTGGTGCGCCCAGCAGTTCTACAGTGCCCAAGAATAATAAAGATTGAAGGATAGAAAGCATCCCTCCACTCCAGCTTTCAATGCTTTCCTTTCCACTCCACACCCCTCTCTCCCGCATCTCTCCACGTAGCCTCGAGTGAGGCTGCATCTGCACGGAGGCAGACGAGGTCCCTGGGGTGATGGAGGATGGGGGGTGAGGAGAGGGGGGTGCACGGCTGTCACACTGAGCTCCAGTGTCGGCTGATGGCTCGGCGTGAGGCATGCCACTTATCAGATTGGTGGGGAGGGTAGGAGTCAGGGGGGGTTGGGGTAAGGGTAACTGTGCGCGGGAGAGGAATCACAGGGGAGAGAGGGTGATGGTGATGCCAGAGCCCATTAACACATCTTTTGATCAGTACACACACAGGCAAACATGGATTGCACACACACATGCACATTTAAATGGACCTTGAACACACACACACACACAGCAAAATTGCCAGAGATCCTCAATCCTCCCTACAGGCAGACGGTAGCCCAATGCCGTGACTGCCGCTGTGAAACGCCCCTTCTCCTCATTCCGTCTCTCCTTTTCCTTTTCATCCTCCTTTCCCACTCTCCCTTGGTGCTCCAGTTCACTCCAGTGCACACGCTCCCTCTCCCAATCCGCCCCTCCCCCCCACCTCTCTGGCCCCCATTCCCAGTCCCAACCATGCCTTCCATTTTTGCAGCCTTCACTCGCTTGTCTCCTCCATGCAACTGTACTGGCACCAAGCATTTCCAGCGCTCTTGTGAAAAAGACATTAACACCCTCGTAAAAATGTATTGAGGTATATAAATATGAATGTGCACACACACAAACACACACACACACACACATTCAGAAAATAATACATACACACCTTGGCAAGTACATGTCCAAACTCAATGCAAAAACGACCACCTCAGAATCAAATTAACTCAATACAATGTAATGTTTGACTTAGTTTTCACAACTAATCACTGAACTCTATAATAAATGATGGGGAGTATTTTTTCACATTTTTCCATGTGCTTAAACAACAGGGTCACGCACATGTAAACACATCAAGAGATGGAGATGGGGCTTTGATGGAAGAGGTCAGTCAGTCTTAGAGCAGAAAAACAACACCTCATTAGGCATGTTGAAGGGAGTCTGCAGGCCGGGCCGGGACATTGTTGTCTGCTAGTATGCTAACAGAGCCCTGGGCAAAGCTTCCAACGTATAAACAAACCTGATAGGATCAGAAAGTAATGATCACATGTTATGCACTAGAAAGGACATGAATAATCCCATATAGCCCTGCACGCCCCTATATCCCAATGGATGCAGACATGGACGCAGTGATACATGCTTGAGCATACATCCCTGAAATAACAGTGATGTCAGGATGCCCAGGGCTGGTTCTTTATCCTATGCATGCATGCACATTGCTCTCCATTCATAAGATTATAAGCTATTCATTACTGGATGGTACTGGATACCAGTATTCATCCTATAGGCAGTACAGTATAATTCCTGAGAAGCAGGGGCTCTGCACTGAAAAGTCTTTACTTTGAGCTGTAGGCAGTCAATTTACTTTCCATCACGCACTCACACACTTTCAGTCGTTCTTGCACTCACAGTATTTATCTCACGGCCTCTCGCTCTATCTTCCCTCTCTCTCCTTATATTAGGCCATCCTCCTTTCCCCTGGCTCCGATGTTAATGCACTCCCAATCAGGCTGTCCATTAAGCAGACGTGCACTACACGTTCATCAGGCCGTCCAAAGGCCCGCATGCAAATTAGCTCAAATTGCAGTGCGCTGCAAACTCCTTGAAATCTCCTTAGCGGAAGAACGTGAGTATAAGACATGCATTTGTGAGAAAATGCGGGAAAAATCGAGTGCCTGCTCGTCTATTTTATGCAAATGACAACCACGGAGACAAGTATTACAAAGGATTAACCCAACCAGGGTGTCTTTTTGATGTTTTCGATGCAATGACGAGACACTCACATGTGAAACTTGCTGATGTAAAATATATCCTTGATTCATAAGCCTGAGAGTGTTGAGTTTCTGTCAGCCAATCCCTTTCCTCATGCACAGTGAAACTTCTCCATTTTGAAACACTGTCAGAACTTTTGGTGGAATCGCTGAGAGTGCGACACGAAACAGATTTTTCACTAGCTTTCCCTCTCCTCCCTTTTTGACCGCTAGGCATTACACATCAGTACATTCTGTTCTTTACGAAAAAATGTGTTATTGTATCCAGTGGGACGCATTTATTCTCACCTCAGTTCCTCGCTAACTGTAACTTTCTAAACCGGTACAGGGATAGAATAGAAAAGGGCTGTGTGGGGGCTGTCACGGATTTAAGTAGAAGAGTGTTTGATGTAAAAACAAGGAGTAGGAGAAAAGGAAGCGGAGAGACACTCTTGTTCAGAATGCTGCCTCTTTGCATTCAGGTGGCAAATGGCCTGGCGTTAAAGGCATGGAGCGGGGGGAGTGTCAGCGAGGCCTGCCGCGTGCCAACTCCTAAGTGGTGGTGGCACTCAAAGATAATGAAGAACGATGATGAGGGCGAGGAGGGCATGCCGAGGGCTCACGTGCACATTTAAAAAAAATCACCCAGCAGTCACCTATCAAGCTCCGCACACAGCCACTCAAAAAGGTTTGCCAACGGCACTGATTGCATGTCACCGAGTGTCAAACCTGCGGCTCAACTTTCCACTTTCCTTCAGTAATCCAGCCCACTTCTCTGCGTGTTCTCTGTGAACATATGTTACTCATGCCTGGTGTGAAAAAGAAGGTAAGTCATTATGCAGTCACACCACATGATGCGAAAAAATAAGGGTAACAGGAGAGTGAAAAGAATGGAAGATAAGCGAGTTCCCTGCATTCCTCAATCGTGACCTCGAAACACACTTGTCGTCTTTATTGTTCATTACCGAGCCGTGTGCCGCGATACGCTAACTAATCCCATTAAACTAATCCACATGAAAACAATTTACGGCACGATAACAGCTCGTACCGCCTCCACTGTTAATTTATGCCATATTCAAATATGCAATAAATTGAAATAATTAATGTGACTCCCCCACTAATTTTCTTGTGGCAGGGATACAGGATGGATACCCGCAGGATGTTTATTTTCATCCACATTCTTGTTGCCCACATTTCCTATTATTGTCCACGTACATGTCCAAGTCACGATCATTTTTTGCTAGTAATGTTTTTGCCAATTAGTTAATTAAAGGCAGTGGAAATATATTTGTTCTCCGATTGGCATACAAACAACCATTACATTTGCCCTCAGAGTTGCTTGGTTTGAAGCCACCCCTTAACACATGTTGTATGTAAGGTGTCAAGATGACGTTGAAGACTTACAGCAGGTGACGTATCCCAGGATAGTCTAGCTCTAGAATCTTGTTACCGCGTGATGTGACAGCAATAACCAGCCACAGGCAACAATTCCTACCCACGATCGATTTTATTATCTTTAAAAGCCCTTTTATTCCAAGAACCAAATCACAGCTCCAACAATAGCACCCGTATGGGCCCTATACATTGCCTGCTGGTTAACAAATACTGAGTTTGTTTGGAAAGAAGAAGCGTCCACATGGGTTAATGAATAAAACATGTTGCCCTTATTAAAAATAATCTGGCTCAAAAGAGCCAGAGGCCCTTGAGGTCGATAACTCCCCCTCCCCTCCATCCCCTCCCTCCATCTCCCAGGGTTCAAGGAGAGAGGTCCCTGATTAGCAGTGGCAACATCTAGAGAATGCATTCAAATTCTGAATGATCAAGCGGTGAGTGTGTTGAGTGGAATTAAATAAAGCAGATAGCGTTTGGCGTTTGGGGCTACACAGGAGAGAGTTTAGTATTTTGAGATGAGCTGTCTTACCTGAACATCTCGCCCAGGCCCTTCAGCACGCCTTTCTTGGCTTTGCTCTTGTCCTTGTCTCTCTCCCTCTCTTTATCCCGTTCAGGTTTTTTCTTTTCCTTGCCTCCAACCTTGTCTTTCTGTCTGTCATCTTTGGAAAGGTTGCCGTTCATCCCTGGTCCCAAATTGAGGTCGCTGCTGGTGGACATCGACTCACGACCTGATCTGGAGCTTTCCTCCGTGTCCTCGTCCACTGGAGGGAACAGATAAGGGGGAAGGGAGAGGTGTTAAACGTTGATATTGAGTGGATGATAGTGCAGCACACTCACAATAACACAGGGATAATAAGAAATAAAATACAAGTCAACAAAGGCAGACAGTTTACACAAAGTATAACTTCCACTTGACTCCCTGTGGATCACAGAAACCCCATTTGAAAACAGCACATCAGAACCCCACTGTCTTTTTTATATAACAAAGAAATAGTTCTTTCATCAGATACAACGTTGGAAGAAAAACTGTGTCCCACAAGGTATGGCAGCTTTGAACAAAACACACTGAATTCATGCGCCTCATTAGAGCAGAATATATTTACTTTGTACCCCCTTTGAGAAAATAATTCAGTTGAACATATTTTCACTTAGCTGAAAGCCTGAAGTTATTTCAAATGTGTACATTTCACACAGCTCACAAGAGAACTTTCTTTTTTCCCCCTTATCTGTTGAATTTCCTATACAAATAATGTGCTGGAAAAATGGAAGCTCTAATGATAGTCATATGCATTTGGTTCTTAATTTACGTCTCAACTAATTTCAACACAGACATCAAATTGAAAACCAAACTCCTTAGGTGATGCAGGGTTGATTAAACTCAAAGTTTCCATCACATCTAATCAGAATTGATGTGCAAAATGTAATTAATCTGTCAGTAATTATACATTTAAATAATCTTGAAAATGGCTCCCAGGGATCTTAATTGCAAATGTGGTGCACTTCACAGTCGTCATAGCTCCTGCCTACGCTGTGTCTCTGGATATGAGGCATGAGGTAGATGTCCTTCAGATTACAATTTATAGCAGTCTTGCCTTTAAGTTCTGCCTTTAATGGAAGAGAAATGAGTGATTATCATGAGGAAAGAAAAAGGAGGGAACCATGATGGGTTTGAGTTACACGGAGACGGAGGGTGGAGCGGCTGGATTCACATTTCAAGGGACAGTTTTCTTCTCTTGTGATGTGTGGAGTTATCAGCCATTTTTTCAGCTGCCATCTTGATATGCCTTTAATGGAATCATGTGGCATCGTACAACGGGAATAGAAAGCGAAGCAGTGGTTTAAACCTGCACAATTATGCAATTCATTGCTGTGAGGCCCCTCTCTTAGTTTTGTCCATGTCCACACATTTGGAAAGAGGTTTGGTTTTAACAATCGACTCTATCTTCTGCCTGCTTATCATTCACTTAAGAGCAGCGGCAGCAAATAGCAGCTGCGAGCTGTATCTGGCTATTTAAATGCCTGAGATTAGCAGGAGTGCTAATGTCGCTAATGATGCCGATAGAAGATAACATACTACCATTGTAATCTAGAATGTCCCAGAGGGAGGTGGCCATGTGTTTTTGTGACTCACGGGGAAGTATTTACATGTCCTCATAAAAAGGCCTTACTTTGAGTTATGTGGAAACCCAAATCAAATTAAATATGTAATTTTTTCCTTTCGCATCTTTTAAATAAAGCGACATTTTCGATCACAACACAAGATTAAATACTTTAACACTGGATATCAAAACGAGAGGCCGTCAAACACAATTTTAGGATTGGAAAATGTCTTAGCTGACACAATGACAGCAGAAGCATTGATGAAAGTGTCAGGAGACAGAGACAGACAACCGCAGGAAACATTTAGTCACTTCTGTGAAACTTTCCAGCTTTAATAATCAAGGACATTTAAGCTGGCCTGTCGGTGAAGGTTATGACAGACATGTACAATTGCCTGTCTTTTTCCAACACACAAAAGAAAGGATTTTCCTCAGCAGAGCAGATTTTTCTTTTCTCAAACGATGCAACTCAAAGTAGCACAAGAGAAAGTGCACTTTGCCTTGCAGGATATCTTGTGGGGACACATTTTCTTTAGGTGATGCCACGTTCTTATTTTATGTAAATAAAAGTCTGGGAGCAGAGAAAAGCAGCGGCTTATCTGTCAACTTTGACTATTAACCTCAGTGACGAGCACGGACTGGCTGCTTTTATCTAAATTGAAAAACAGAGTTATTTGAATATCATGGAGGAGAATGCAATATACCACGGCAGAGGAAATCTGTTGCTTTCCCCATTTTTCTTTGCAGAGATAAGACTGTATTTAGTAGCTTGCCGACAGAGCTTATGAGAACAAAGCGTTTCAGGAAAATAATTCCCTCTTTTTCAAATGTCCCCCAGCTCTTTTAATGGAATCTTTTAATGGCGAATGCAAATGTATATCTGGTAATTACTCTTGTGGTGTTGCAGGGTTATTACCTGTCGCAAAACGTAAGACAGCTGTCTTTCAATCCCAAACGCGTGTATTTTTGTCATCAAACACCAAATAGGAATGGATATATTCACTCAAAGGAAAGGTGGCATGCCTTTCTTTTCTAATGCTGTCTTAATAGTTCAGAATAAAGGAATCAGGCACAGTGAAGAAAGAATGTGAGGGATCCTGGCAGTTATACAGTGGATCGTGCCAAAACTTTCTCGCACAGACTAGAATAATTGTAAATGCAATTATGTTATATTAAGATTTTATAACCACATATGATACAATAGGAGACTGACTTATGTGGGTAAACAGCGTAATATTTCCTAGCATGCACTCTGTTTGAAAACATGGCAATGCACTTTAAGAGTATGTAGGCTCATGGGGAAACATGCTGCCACAGTTTCTGACAATTCCACTCAACATGAATGATTTGAATATTAATGAGTGTGTAACCTAGACGCCTATTGCAGATGTGCTTTATGCCACACACACACACACACACACACACACACACACACACACACACACACACACACACACACACACACACACACACACACACACACACACACACACAACACACACACACACACACACACCACACACACACCACACACACACACACCACACACACACACACACACACACACACACACACACACACACACACACACCAGTAAAAGGGGATCCCTAACCTAGTTTCTAGGGGAAAGCAATTTTGAGTTGGCCTATATTACACTGACTGAATTTATTTATAATGATCTACTGATATCTTCTATTGTACATTATAAAATGGCACATTTCTGAGTGCATTATTCTGGATCGCTACTATAAAAAACTAACTTGGAAAAACAAAAGCACTGCATACATTACTTATATCACTCACATGTCTCCATGCTGTTTTCTTCCTCTGGTGTTGTGGTACCAGGTTTCTCGTATGATTTGTCAATGGCAGCTCTGAAGCTCTCGTTGCAGCCGCGGCCCCTGAGGATCCGTGAGCGGGGCCTGTTGACTTTGATCTCACCGTTCTGCGTCACCTCAGCAACAGCCGTCTGGAGGCTTTCCAGGGAACTTGACTTTTTCAGGCCCAGCGATGGTCCCACATCTTGTTCTTTAGAACCTATGGGAAGAAGAAATAGCTTCACTGAGACCAGCATACTAAAAGCATGTGACTCCCCCACAAAGGCCACCTAAAACCATCATCTCGAAGTTCATTGCGTGTCAATTAATCATTCACAAGTTGCTAGTTTTATATTGGAATGATCTCTAAGAAAGCCAAGATAAAATGTGGTTCTGGCAATTAACATGAAAAACAAATGATACCATTGCCTGGCCAATGAAGTGTGTGAAATGAGAACAGAGTATTATATCTTCCCTGAGACATTTCCCTGTTGAGAATTCTAATTCAACCTTTGTCCTTGTTAAATGACGAGACCGAGACATAATGCATATAAATTGGCCGATATCAAAGACAGCAATGTACCTTGGCACCAGAGTGATCATAGTGTTTTACTAAACTATTACAAGTTCACAAAAAGTATGAATGGAGTGTAAAAAAGAAAATGATTTCCATAGGTGGTCCTCTGATTGTTCTTTCTTTAGTAAAAGAGAAAGAATGGAGAAAAGAGTCCACATATCCAAAAGCAAATCCAAAGCAAATCTAAGTCCTTTCATTTCCAACACCATTCTCTTGTAATCACTAGAACATCTTAGCATTAAAAACACATCACAGCTGCAATCCTTCGCTAAGGCCTCAGCAGGTGGATGGTAGATGGCAGGTAATAGCACACCATGAGGGCAGAAAATTGCTCCGTTATCGGCCATATGTTGATTAGACTAGTGGGAGAAAAGCACCAAAGTTCTAGTTTGCACATATGTATGAGCATGTAAATATGGTTAATGAGAAACTATGTATAACATAAACCAATGGTAGCCACTATATTTGTACACATGATATAAATGAATGACAAGTGTGGCTTGAAATGTGTTCGAATTGGAGAAGCTTAGTATATCCTCAAAAAGACCTACATCGTGCTAATGTGAAAGCTGCTAGAGCAGATGTGTAGGAAGGAAAGTGAATGTTGAACAGCAAACCTCTTCAACACTATTGCCACACCCTGGACAGCTGTAATGATGTTTCCAATGCTACCCTATGTTTGTTTAGGGTATGTAAGTGGAGCACAACTCAGATATTGGTATTTCATTTTGTCAGGGAGCGTCAGTCAGTTCCCCGGAGCTCTTTCCTTACCCGCTGAATGGTAAACAAGTGGCCTGGTTGATTTTCTGTCCCCTTTATTTTGCCTCGATTTAGCGCAAAGCAATGTGCTGTCAAACGTAACGAGATGGATTTCTGAAAATGTGCAAGTAAAGCCTTGTTAAATGTTAATGTTTTCGGAGGAAACTATTGGTAATAATGGATAAACTGTTGATTCAATTACTTCTGCAGCCTCACTGACTCTCTGAGGGCTAAGCATATGTCGATGGAGTCTGGACAGAGCAGCATTGTGTCTTTAAGACTCCCTGTAGACCATATAGACCCTCCACATGTAGTGAGTGTGTGCTGCAGTTTCCTCTGTGGCTTCACGTGGTGTAAATAAACGTCTCCTATAGCTCTTCATGTTAGTTTTCATAGCAAATACCGCTATAAGGTCTTGTCTCTACCCCCACTGAACAGAACACACACATGCAAACACTAGGTGTATATGTTTGTATGTGTGTGCCCCATAGAGGGACTCCATAATAGACACAATAACAGAAACTCACAGCATACACTTCTATATAAGCTATAATCAACAAGACCCTCGACATGTTTAAAAGTGGCCTAAATGAGGCATGACCCACTGCTGCTGGGTGATCACAGTGGATCTTTACATGGAGGGTTGCACAGCCAAATACATAGTAGGCAAAGAAAACAAACCTCCATCATTGGAAGAAAACTATTTGTGACCGTTGTTTGGAGTACCCCCTCCAAAACACATTTGTTTTAGCGTTTGAGAGATGGAGTCAGGATGAGAAGAAACATGGAGAACTGTGAATACACAAAGTTTGCAAAAGCAGGGCATGAATGAGCTTAGGAGAGAACAGGATAAACTAGCAGAGCTGTGCAGAAATGCATACAAGCTCTGCTCCTGTTATCATCATTTTACCAGTGGCAGCTTGTCTCTTTTGTTGTCTCAACCCCTTTGATATTCTCTTCTTGATCCCTTAACCAAGCAAACCTGCAGCAGCTCACTAGTGATTAGCTAGCTATCTGAGTTCCAAGGTTCAAACACACACCATGTACAAAGCGACTTGCAGAGGACAAATGCAGGAGAGAGCTGGAGATGTATTTTTCCTATTTCCATCATCTTGACATTTTTTGAGGAAACTAAAAGTTGTCAAGCTACTTTCAAGAACCTTAAGGTCACAAGGGCATTCCTCTTTCTGCTGTGTTTGCTACCAATGTAGCCATACTGAGAGTGTGAGTGCTTCTCTGTCTTCCATGGCGTCTATAGATATGGTGTCAAAGAAGTCAGATAGGCTAAAAGGTCATCTAGCCAGTGGTGTTGGGTTTCCAGACTGGTAAACGTTATGTCTTTAACACACCATTTTCTCCGCCTTTTTGTCAATGTTAATAAAAGTAGACAATCCCCAGAGAACCTAAACTCAATCCTGAAAGCACCATTAAAAAAAAAAGGAACACCAATCCTATAATGTAGCATCGTTTTTAGTGGGAAGAGCTCATCTGTGTGTGTGCCCTCAGGCTGTATTGGACAGTAAAATGAAACTTTACTGTGTGCTACAAATGTCCAGGGGTTAAAAGCAGAAGATTCATTTTACTGCTTTGTTCCTCCATTTCTGATTACTATGGCACATTTCAGTGCCAAGAAAGCATGGACAGTCTTATAAGACCCAGCAAATGCAAGTAAAAATCATGTAATTCATTTTGTTCGAAAGAAGTAATCTCATCATGCAAAGGACAAGAGAGGACAATCTAAAGGAAAGGAAACGAGCACAGATACAGCGCGGCAGGGAAATGCCGTCATTTTTCATACTTTGTGTATGAAACTCAATCAACCCAGTGCAAATGCCATGTAAATGTGGGTTTTCATGAAGCTTATAAGTAAAGCCTGCCAACAGCGGACACGCAGAAGCCGTGCATGTTCGACACAATGGGATTGCAAGTTAGAGCTGCGGAGGATGCAACAGTTCAAGGGAACACAAATGACATCTGCTCTAATCGGAAGCAGGGAATTATCCTCACACTCGGTATTCCGCACCACGATCCACTTGGCCATTGTTTCTAGTTAGTATAGCGAATGACTGAGAGAAGCAGGGAGACAAAGAGAGGGGGAGCGTGAGGCAAAGAGAGGGAGTTTGCCCATAGACCCAGGCTGCCTCGAACCTGCCTTTGTTTTCATCAGAAGCAGTCGTGGCTCTCCTGGGAGAGTTTGACGGACAGCTCTCTGTATGCCAGTCTATTATGTGATTCCTATCACACAACAGAAGCCTCAGTGCTCTGCTCCTCATCTTCCTCTTATTCAGAGGGATGAAAATACATATTCCCCCATTGCATACAGACACGAGTTTGTCACTCCCCACACGTCTGGAGGACAAATGAAAATCATCAAAATGAAATACACAAAAAGAAAAACAATCAAACCAAATAGGGGGGAAGTGCACCTGGATTTTGTGACGGCCAAACACAAAAAAAGCCAGCGCGCTGTGTTTCTTTGCCAGATTAAGGGCAAGGACAGTTAATTGGAGAAGATCCATTGCTATTAAACATTAAAGAGGAGGTATGGCAAACTCCATGAATAAATCAGCAGTGGTTATTACAGGAACAGGAGACCATAATATAATTAGAGCAACTAAAACTATGCTTCCCAGCCATTATTCACCACGGGCACTTGCATGTAAAGATCTGTGTACAGACAGGGGCTCCATTACACATAATTTATTCAGAGAGCCAGGGCTTTAAGCAGGGCGGTAAAAGGGTAATTATGTTAAAAATAGCCTCCAAGGTGGTCGGGGGAAGGCCGTGTCCAGGTATCCCATTGGAAGTGAGGCGTCCCTGGGTCGACCGGGCTACTATTTCTCCGAGAGTTGTGGATCATTAGCCCGACAGAGGACGTCCTCTGTACGCTGGGTCACAAAGGAATCATCATTAGCCCAACTGTTTCATATCTCAATCAAGGATGCTCAATACTGTCCTGCGGTTGTGCATTGAATCAGTAAAATGTTTGTTGAAAAGAAAAATGACAACTACTTTTTTTATTGCTGCATAATTGAAATAACTTATACAGTAAGGTGAGGTGTAATATGTGATTTGCACAAGGCACTTTAATTAGTGCTCTGAAAAAGAGTCAAAAATATTCCCCTGTGACTCAGTCATTAACTCATTATGTTTTAATTTCATAGAGGGTAAGCACTTTAAAATGCTCCAACCACAGCTCAAAACAACCCGACTATGATGGATCAATTGCAAAGAGACGAAGAGGCCAAATGGCAATGAGTGTCTCTTTATTGCAAATGCCACTCCATCCAACCCTACACAACTCCTGAGTAATGAGTGTTTTTTCTTCACTCGTTTGCACTGCAGAACGAGCACAATGGCACAGGTTCACACATTAGTTGCCAAGTCTTTATTCAACACCATGCAACTCCCTCTCAGCATTATGAAAACCCTCTTTTGATCATGCTGCAATTACCTCAAACAACACTCTCCTCCATATGGGACTAAAGGTGCCAAGATCACACGGCCAATAATGGTTGGTTATGAGCTGGTTATTGAGAAAGTGTGGGGCTGCGTTTCCAATCTCCGGTAATGACCCATGGAAACAGATGAACTATCATAGCATCCATTGTAATAACTGTGACAGTATTGGGTTGATTCAGGCATGGTTGCTTACCTTCATTTGTTCTTGTGCTGCAGTTAATCTCATCTGCTACTGTTAAAGAGCATAAACAAGTCAGAGTGGTTAGTGCCATCTGTACCATGATGGCGAGAATATGCAAAGAAGAAAGAGACATCATCAGAAAGTGCAGGGTAGAAGCTGAATAGTGATGTAAGAACAGGTAGTAGACTCCATGGAAGGACTTGTCATAAGGCTTACAAGGCAAAGTGGCTGAAATTTGCTAATGTATTACTGCCAGCCGTGGCACCTCACATCTCTTTCTTCCCTTTTCTACCCTCACTCAATCTTGTTCCACATCTAAATGGGATTGAACAGGGGGGTGTCTGACCAGTTTAGCCTATTTCAACAATGATGGGCTTCAAAGTCATGAAATCCATCTGCTGATGTGATTTGCAAGCACCTGAAACATGATTAAAAGAAGAGGGGGGAGGGAATCAAGTGACAGAATAAAATGAGAGTCTGTAGGGGAAAGCATTGTCAAGCATGTTAGTTCGTTCAGCTTTGAAAGCACAAAACAGATTTATTTAAGTGTTAATGGAAAGTAGGTATTCTTACACCTGCTCATGCCTAACTACTTACGACAAACTGCAATGTCCAATAGTGTGCAATTGAAAAGGAATAAGGATATATTCTGGCCTCTTGATTTTCATTACATTTTCAATTATATTATACATAACCCATAGGCCATTTTTCATTGTGTGTCTTTGATGTAAAAACGTATTTAAAATAATCAACAGCAGTAGGCGCCTTTGAGATATATGGAACATTTGTGACATCAGATACAAATCATTAAATGTAGCTTTCATTTTGAACTCACACTAGAGCTTGTGTTCCATGTATTGACTGAAACATTTCTCCTCCAGGAACTCATGTCAGTTACTAGAGTTATTATATGAGCGGAACAAGTAGGTTATTTCCCTGCAACATTGGAACGCTGTGTTATTCTCTCTAATAGATTATGATTAGATATTGGCAAGGATTTCTGTCAGGAGGATATTCACATACTCAACTGGCACCTGCAGGTTGAGAAGGGGAATGTGAGTAATACATTGTAAACACTGATCTTGAGAACTAAGACGACATTCAGTAATAGATAAATCATTTTCGTAAAAAATCAATAATGTTAGTTATCCCAAGAGTGAGGCATTGTCTTGAGTAAAACACACTGCTGTTTCTTAGAGCTAATCAAATTCACAAATACATGCTGATGCCAACTTGGAACAATTAAGTAGCTTTTTTTGATTATATGAATTGATAAAATATGCATTTGCAATGATGAGAACGCCATCATGGAGCGATCTTCGCATCCTGTCCATTCTGCTCACTTACTGTCCTCAGTTATAGCCAATTATACTTGTACTCGATACTAAGAACATAATGGAAATTATTTTTATGCTGGACTAATTGCTCAGTGAAACCTTTAGGATGGCCTACTGTTATCTTTCTGCTAAGCAGCACTTTCCACTGAAAGTTTGTGTTGTCTGGGTTCACTTTGTAGAAAAGTTTTGAGGGCATACAAAGGGTGGTGCTAACACAGTGAAGGTGGATCCCACAGAGCTGAGTGCAGTGGCCTGAACCTGCACTGGTCTGTGGGAGAGTCAAAGATTCCTACAGTTCTCTGGGCTCCATGTGGAAAATAGTAGACTGTTATCTGTTATGATTAGCCAATGATGCGAGAGAAAGCAGCTTCTGCTTCAGTCTCAGTGGGAGAGGCTCTGAACTCACACCATCTTCTTCTTTAGATGCAGACTGTGTGTTTGAGGGTGTGCCTGCACATGCAAGCATCTCACCGGCCTCCCCATCATTAGACAGTCACTAAAGCAGTCATTGTGTTCTTGCTTCTTGTGCTTTACCTATGCTCCACTGGACACAACACCATAGGGGATGGATGCCAAAGAGGAGAGGTGCTGGCTGGGCAGGAATAAAGGGCTGTGTGTGTGTGTGTGTGTGTGTGTGTGTGTGTGTGTGTGTGTGTGTGTGTGTGTGTGTGTGTGTGTGTGTGTGTGTGTGTGTGTGTGTGTGTGTGTGGTGTGTGTGTGTGTGTGTGTGGCAGGGTTTCCGTTAGCCGGTAATTACCGGTTTTTAGCTGGTAAAATGTATTAAAAACCGGTAAATTCAAAACCTGCCGGTCAAAATGTCTGGTAATAATTAGGGATGCTCCGATAGATCGGCCGCCGGTCATTATCGGCCGATATTCACTCTTAATAGTTTGATCGGTGCTCTATATAAAGGCCGATCAGGAGATCTGATCGATATGGACATAAACGAGAGTGAAGTATAACCGGACACGCGAGAGAGATCAGATCAGCTGCTGAGTCAGACCGAGACACGTAGCTCTGCATGATCACCTGAAGCCCCGCCCTCTGTTTAGCGAGCTGCAGGAGCTGCATGAGAAACTGACGGGCTGTCAGGAGAGAGAGGGAGAGGGGGAAAGAGAGCATCCGTTTCTCCCGTGTTATTATTCAAAGTTGATGTAAACTTTTGAATAATGTACGTTATCTACTACAAGTAGTTAGTTTGAATGTAATAATTATGTTGTTTGTTGTTTGTGGAATAATTTATTGAAAAATGAAGCTGCATTTTTCGATCTGTTACAATTATAAACTGAAGCAATATAAAAATGGGCCCCGTGAACTGAGTTTTAAACATCAGCATATCTGCTCATAGTCCGGTAATTACCTGCTAACGGAAACTCTGCTACACAACTCTTATTATTATTATTGAAATATGACCGGTAAGTTTCAAATTTGTCCGGTAAAATAAATTCTGCCCGGACATTTGACCGGCGAGAAAAAATCCTAGCGGAAACCCTGGTGTGTGGGTGTGTGTGTGTGTGTGTGTAGGGGGTATTTCTGCTTTGAAAGTATGTTCAATCTCATAGTAATGTATCTTGTACTGACCCAGTCCTAAAGGGTAAGATACATTGAGGGCTTGAGGAGTCAAAGGTTACAGTAAGATCGATTTCATCAACACTTTGGGGTGGCCCACAGGAATGGTCAAAGAATCATACCAGCTCTTGTGAAAACACAGTTGAAGTTGTCATTCAGCAGAGGCTAACTTTGTAGTTAACCTCATTTATTATATTATTTATCTTTTCAAGCACACACTTTTCCCATGAATTGAGTGATTGCTACTCACATCTCAGGTGCATTTTACTTTGTTGTAGTGAAACGGCTAAGTACTTAGATCTCAAGATGAAGGCCAACAACTGAAAGTAACAACGACCTTAAAAGGAAATGTTCTGTTGGTAAATACGCTTATTCACTTTTTGATGAAAGGTAGATGAGAATAATGAAACCACTAAAACTGCTGTGCCAAATAACTCATTATAGTATAAATCTAGCCGTGTCCAAAGGTGAGAAAACAACACATCTATAGATCACATGTTTTATCTTATCTGTGTAATTTGTAGGCATTCAAATGTACATGTTTGAACAATACTTTGCCATTCTACAGGTTGTTATCTCTCAAACTATTGTTGGGCCAGGACAAGTTGCCAGGTGGCTGATTAACAGTGAAGTACATAAGTAAGTGTTGATATTAAACTCTTGAACCCATGCATGTGTGATTGTGCATGTGTAAAGTAGAACATATAATTTACCTAGATCCATACTCTTGGACTTGCGCGTCTTGACGATCTCCAACTCAGCAGCATTCTCAAACTGTTTGATGCGTTTTTCAGACATACTCTGGCGTCCGAAGCCCTCCCTCTGGAACGATGCGTCAGGGTTTGCGTCTGGACTGAGTGAGCTACAGTTCATGAGGAAGAATAGAAGTATGTTATCAAATATTGCAAAAGCAGGGTCATTCCAAAAGCAAATCCTTTAATCTGATGATTAATCCAATTAAAGATATATTTCATAATCATCTACATCAATTTGCAGTATATTGCTAGGAGCCATCCTTATAATAAGACCGGAAAATACAATCTACTTATTAATATTCATACAGTGCCAATCCTGAGCCCAAACACACGCTCACTATCAGACAATGACCATCGACATTCAATACTCGCACACGCATTAACAGTCAGTTTCAATCCTTCATTTCAATGACTATTCTAATCAAGGACACGTCCACCTCTGGCTGGGTGGTTCAGGACGTGTTACAATTGGGTAAAAGAGGCCTGGCGTAGATGTGTGATCCCCCATTGAGGTGAGGGTGTTCCGGGGTCATGGCCACTCAATAACCCCCCTCCCTCAATATGTCTGGAGCAGAGGCAGTGCCCGGACCACCATAGTGCTCTCCCTTTGAGATCCTCTATCTCTGTCTGGATCTTAATTGAAAATCGGAGGGGAATGGGGAAAGGAGGTTGGGAGAGGGGGACACTGATATTTGCATACAGAAGAGTGCATTTACAATTAAGGTGAGACCATCCTGCCATTTGAGGAGAGAAAGGGGGGAGGAGATTCAGTGCTCATGGAGTCTAATAAATATGATATGGTTGAAAGAACACTGTCACTGTTTCCTTTGTTCTGATGATGATCATAAATGATAACCTTTCAAGGGTGTTTAAACCTCTAGAGATCCATTTTAGAGACTGCATCAGACATTCCATCAGACGATCTGATCCCTGGTAAATAACAGTGGACAGCTATTGTCCTGAAATGGGAGTTATAAACTGGAATAGAAGATGTGTTTTTTTGACAATTATTCCTATTGGAGCAGGTGCAACTTAAAGAACCCTTCCACTTTTGTAATATCACTTAACAGCATCTGCAGACCTGCTGGCACTTGTTTGCATGCAAACCATTCTGATTTGCATTGTCAACCCCACTTAACAAAGGAGCTGCTTCATGTGTCACAGAGGGACCGGCGTCATCGTGTCACTTTGCTGTCGACCATACATGACAATCCCAACTAAGATCAGAGCGCCTCACAGGACTGACTCCAGCTGACACAGGAAGAGAGGGAGGTGGAGCAGGAAGAGAGGAATGACAGCACAGATGTATTATTCATGTATTCATCATCCCTCGCTATTCTCCTCTCATCGTTTCCGAGCCCACCAAAAACAGTCTGCCCTCTCTTTTTCTGTCTCGACAAATGTCATCTGTCGGAGCGTGACTGAGACGGCGCGGGAGAGAAAGGACGTATTTTCAGCCTGAATTTAGATTTCATTCACTCGTGCCAGTATTGTGTTTTTGGGGCCAATTGAATACTCATACAACATGGACAAAGAAGACAATCGAGAGGGCAGCAGGTGGGATCATGCACAGCCCTGTCATTCAGGTAGAGAGAGTTGGCGAGTATATGACTGTTTGTGAGAGCAATTAGAGACACAGGCAGTTGGAATGAATCAGAATCCGGCCTGACAGAGCAACACATGGTGAGAAACCTGTGGGAAGTAACAGGGAAATTCACTCGGTAGGCCTTAAGATGTGTTATTTCAAGCTGCTGCCTGTTTTAACACTGCCTAAATGCCTAAAGTAATGTAGACAATCATGTTGCTTGACTCATTATTCAAGCCGGAGATACTTGCGGTCTCACGCCTAAGTTGGCAGTACACCACTACACACCATTTTTTTAACTTGAGCCCCAATATAGCCAGGCGGTTCACACCAGCAAACCCTTGTCACAGGTTGAACATCTCTTCCAATCGAAAACTTAAAAAATAACCGCAAACCAGGAAATATGTCTGGTATTAAATTAAGCATGTAAAAGTTGGAATTCATCTTCTATTCTACTTCAAGCTGACAAAGTGTCACAGCTACTACAGTCCATTAATAGAAATACGGCACCCAATTACAGATCTGGTATTCACTTTCTACTGGTTATTCATTTCCCCATATAAATTCCTGTTGTAATGAGATACTGTTTGAAAGTCTCTTTGCTTTGATCACGATATGTCTTTAGCTCCAATGCAGTCTTGTGATGGAGGAAAATCCAATGAATATGTTGAGTCTATGAAGGTGAGACCCTTATTGGACTTGGATGACCAATGAATGCCGTATTTTGGTGGAAATTGTATTGGATGGATGGAACAATTAAATAGCTTGTCCATGTGAACTCCCAGAGAAGTTAAATAATCTCCAAATTGGCACCATTTCTTCTTCAGACCGTCCGTCCCTTCCATGCCTCTGGCCTATCTTTAATAGTGGGTCCAATCCATTTGGATAATACATTCCCTCATCTCTGCTTCTTTAAGCAGTGTTTAAAAGCAATTTTCACCATTCAGAGCAGATGCTGCTCTCTCCCCGCTCAAAGTCTTCCCATCATCTAAAATTAACTAGCGCTGAGGATTGCTCACAGGCAAATCCACAGCTTTAACTTGCATTTCACATCAACTTGTTCCTGTCTCCGTCTCCCTCGCAGAAAGTGAAATGTGTCAAAGCGAACATCGGCCTTGTAGCTAAGTGGTGTGTGCTAAAAGCCGTCTGTGCTCACACTTTACCCAGGTGAATTATGTTTTTTATGTCTTTCTCTCAACTCACAAACCTCCTTACCCTTATTTAAAAAACGACCCCAAAGAGGTAAATCGTAAAGAGTCCTTCTTCTTAGAAAGGTGCAGCTTGGTTTGATCGACTAGCTGGGGGTGGTGTGCATAAGTTGCTACTCCTCAGAGAGGGGGCAAGAGGTGCAGAGCCCTGGTAAGGTGCTTCTGAAATGCTTCTTCTGAGGTTTGGAGGAGGCCGATTCAGCTGACCGCATGGATGCATAGCTGGGCCAGAGAGCTTGGAGCTGCCTTCAATCATTGAATACAGCCCTGCATGAGAAGTCAGTGCAGAACTCTGTCCTGCTGGCGTGTGCACCAGCAGACACTAGATCGTTGAAATCATTTATAGAAACAGTTGAACAGAAAGGGCTTCTCTCCATTTGAAACAATTGTCTCAAATATGAATGGACTGTAAAAACTATGGCTCTGATTACCACCTTTATTTTACTTGCTCAATTGCACCTATTAAACATTGGACTTAAACCTGGGTATAAAGGCCCTTAAATATAATGTTCCCAGAGTGGAGCAACTGCACATATGATTTGCGGTAATATCCTATTCATTATGATGAAGTTGCAGAGAGCGACAGAGAGGGAGAGAAAATGAAAGAGATCAATTAAGACCTCTTTGTCTGTTGGCTGACTTCTACATAGACCTCATTCATTCCGTGCCTGGTATATCATGGGAGCTTTACATTTAAGAGAAAATAAATAAAGGCACGTATCACATGCTTGAAGCAATGGCGCACCATTGAGACATGGTTAATATTCATTAAGGTAAAGGAAAACATTTGCATTTAAGAAAAGAACAATGCCTGGAATTCATATGTAGGTGTGCATGTGTGTGTGTGTGTGTGTGTGTGTGTGTGTGTGTGTGTGTGTGTGTGTGTGTGTGTGTGTGTGTGTGTGTGTGTGTGTGTGTGTGTGTGTATGTGTGTGTGTGTATGTTTTGCCCAGAGTCACTTCCAACTTAAATGGACATCTGAGATGACTAAAATAGCGTGTGTACGCACTACAGGGCTGTTTGCATTTATATGTAGTTATGCTAATAGCTTGATGGGAAAAACACATGTGCCTAATAGAGCACTTGTGATTCTTAGTTACATTACTGATGATAGAGACTATTATGGAGTCAACTGAAGTAGGCAGTCTGCCCGCAATGTTAGTTTGGAAGTTTGTTTGTTCATGTCTATGCGGACCTTTTCCACTTTATATGTTAATTTTGGAAATTGTTTACCAGCCAATGTGTATCTAAACACTCGTGAGACCGAGGGCGTCTGTGCTGTAATGCGTGTGTATGTTTGTCAGGAGTCCTTTTCCATCTCTGCTGGTTGACAGACTGTGTCAGAGCTGCCTAGGAAATTATGTTTCCACCTGTGACACAGTCTCTCTTTCTTCATCCCTGTCCCTCTCGCTGTCCATTTCTCTTCCCTCTCAACTTAAATCAGAATTGACACCTCTCTTCCACTTTGTCAACTACATCCAGTTTGAGGTTTAAGACAAGGGGACAGTAGTAGTGGTGGTAATGACAGATATAAAGAATGAAACTTAAGGGTTTTAAATAATGCATTATAGCCACACTATCAAATCAATCAACATAATGATTGAAAGAATAGCACTGTATTACTCATATTATGAGGGGGCTGATTTTAACTGAACATGCATTATGTGTTCCTGCAGGTAATACCACTTATCTTAGGTGGTATGAAGAGCAGTGCTGATAACAGTAGTTGGTATGGTAGTTACAGTATCTTAGTTACTTGCGCAATGTGAGGCATAACACTTCATAAACTTCAGACTAATGAGTATGCTAGGGAAACACTCAGGCTTTTTACACACTTTAGAGCCAAATCAGAGTACTGTCCTCCTGCTCTTGCATATGTTAGAATAATCTTTGTTCACTAGTTAAGAAGGTGCAAGTATTTTACTGTGGTTTTAAGACAAGGTGCTGAAAACAGCTCGGCCTTTGAGACTCACATTGTTAGAGCTGTCAAATTATTTCTACATTCCTACTGATAATAACAAAATACCATTTACAAAATCACAGTTCAAACATTCTTCACTTTTAATTAATTATATTGAAAAACTGCAAACTTCTGTTCACACTCTAATGTTGCATTTGACTGGATTAGGTATTGTATTTTGTTATTACAAAGGCCACAACTGGTAGGCTTATTCTTTTTTTCAATGGTAAAAGTTGGACGTGGACACCTCAGGGACAATTATATAAACCAAAGAGGGAGTATTTTAATCAAAGAAAAATGTCCCACTTATCTCATTGCAATGACATGCTTTACTCTCTAGAGACCTGAACAAGTAGGATGATGCAGCCAGCACCAAAACTGATTGAGCAACAACATTTTTTTAAAACTATAATTTCTGAGAACAACAAGCTTATTATTTGAAACTAACTTTTCCAAATGGGAAGGACTAGGACCCAGTACAATGGAACAGACAAACCCTGCAACTCCATCAACATCTGGTATGAAAACCAGGTGGAAACTATAAACACGTCTTTGCATTTCAGATGAATCTGCTTGAATTAGGAGCTGCCACGATTATACACTAAATTGTGGTTATGACACTGCTCAACATTCCATTCCTGAGAGAAAAACCTTTTATCTTCTAATTTATCCAGATAATGCTGCAAAGTCCCGCTATCGTCCAGTGTGTGTTATCTGTTTTACTGTAAATCATTTAGACGTGGTTCTTCCTGTTTGGCTTTGGATTCAAACTAATGAAGGAGGAGGCAGACACTGCAAAGGGAATTCATGGGACAGGTCAGGACCCAATGCTCAATTGAACTTTGAGCAGATATGCAAAGTAATAACTTACAACCTTTATTTATACAGTGAAACCTGACAGAAAACACATGCTGGTTTCCACCAATTCCCTGGGTCACAACACACACACCTCAGCCAAATACATACATCTGGCTGAAAAGTAGCCAAATAATTGCAATGGATTTATTCTTAAAAGTATCTCAATAGAAGGTGTACATTTTACTATACTACCTCTAACAGTTTGAACCAGCAACTTCTATCCACAAGCCACAATCTTAATACTACCACCACCTCACTGATAAAACTGAGAAGGAGTATTAATAGCACAACTAATAAAACAGTCTGTAATAGAGCAGCAACCAATAAAAACGTGAATATGTCACATTAGCATTTTAACAGAGATCTAAAAGCATAGAGCTGTAATATTTATAGCCCTATGCCTTAGCCTTAGTTTTATGATCATTTGAGGCCCGTAAAGAGGTGCTAGCATGACAGTTCATAACAACATGGCAGGTATACAGACAAGTACCTGCATTCAAACAGTACAACTTGAGCTAACCAGAACAACAAACATGCAGCATAAACACTCATTAGGTGTTGGCTAGGGATGTCAAGAAAAAGAAGTAGGTCAATTATTGTGTCTTGTATGAGATGGGATTCTGCCTCCAAACAACCATTTATCTAAGGGGCCTACACATTAACCCACTAACACATGAGCGATTATTCACTGGAAACCTGCTGAGGAGAGGACTGAGCAGAAAGGAAATATTGCAGAGGGAGAGATAAGTACGTACATTTACAAATTAAACTACAGAGAGGTGAGTCGATTATAAAAGAACAGGGTTGTTTTAATTGATTTCTGTTTACATTAGTCGCTCTTTACTTTATAATAACCACTAGTTTACCAGATGCTGAAAGGGCATTTTGATTACTGCTACATTAACAGAGTAAGGATTAAATAATTGTTTACAAGCCTGGCTATTCCATGTTTGAACAAAGTCACATACTGAACAGTGCTTCTGTAGACGAGAAAAAAGACATTAATAAAGGGAAACAAGAGTAGAAAGAGAGCCTGGAAATCTGAGTTTGTTAAATTCCACCGGGTGAGAAAAAGACAGAAAAACAGAGAGCCTGAATTACAATGATTTTACAAGCCAACCAGCCACTTGTGTTTTGTGTATGCACTGTATGTGTATAGCTGGGGCCATGAGGGAGGAAAGCTGCATAATACTGGAGGCCAGAGGTGAGACTTTCACAGCTCCCCACAATACATATTCAATACGTTCTGGGCCCTGGCTGCACTGTTGCGAGCGCTTAATTAAAAAGTAACAGTTCCAATACAGTGGAGTCTGGCTGACCCACATCCCCTGCTGGCTCAGTATGCCTGTTAACACTGCGTGCGTGTGTGTGTGTGTGTGTGTGTGTGTGTGTGTGTGTGTGTGTGTGTGTGTGTGTGTGTGTGTGTGCGCGTGTGTGTGTGTGCGTGTGTGTGTGTGTGTGCGTGCGTGCGTGCGTGCGTGCGTGCGTGGGGGATGTTGGGAGCGAAAAGGAAAATGAGAAACAGTAAAAGTCTATCAGAAAAACGATACACACTTCACTTGTTACGTTTAAGCAGCCGTTAGCATCTAAATGGAAGAGATTGTGTGTTCATGTGTGTCTGTGTGGGTTTGTGGGTGTGTGTGTGAGAGTGACTTTAAGGACATGAATTATTCACAATAACCCTAGGCAGTAGTATATAGCACACTTCTGCCTAGCGTGTACACGTCACATGTGTGTGTGTAAGTCAGTGTATTTGTGGAATTCGTATGCGTGTGTGTGGGAATGGTGTGTGAGAGAAGTTTGAGTGCGGTTCAGCCATATGCTGTGGACCTAATCCACTATGACAAACCTCTGACATCACATGAACAACAGGCATGCTGAGCACATCTACTCATTCATTATTAATGAGAGTGAGAGAGAGAGAGAGAGTAGAGAGTATCTGGGGAAAAATAAATACAAATAATACAAAAAATAAACTGAGTAAATGGCAACCAGCATTTCATCTTGAAAAAGCACTCCTTTTCAAATAGAAATATGACTCACCATAACAACTGAAAAGGTAGGAGTTTAAAACAAACTATGTTAAAAGAAAAAGCAGTCTGACTTAAAATGAAATAAAACGAGTATGAGGACATGATTTGACATAATGTCTTGTTTTTATATTTCCTGTACCTCTCCAATAAGGTCATACAGGAAATGCCATGAGTCATTTTTTACACGAGTGATTCGTTTAAGGATGGACAGCTATAACTTCCTGTGCCTAAAAGCAGCCTTTAAGTAATAACAATAAAAGAAAGACAAGCACTGAGCGGTGCTGCAGCGCTGAAATCACCGTTTGTCCCTAAAGAAACATAGTTATCTGACAAGGTTGATAAGACAGGGGGCTGAAATCCCAAGGCAGGTTGGAGTTGGGGAGGTGGAGGCACTGAATTATTGTTTACCCAGTCTGATTGCTGCTGGGTCATTTAATATTTTATTTACACACAAACTCCTAAAGAGCCGCTCATGTAGGAACTTCCCATGAGTAGCACACTAACACCTTACAAATGTCCATATTTACCAAAAATGTGCAAATAATCTTGGATGGGAAATGCATCCGTGAAAAACTGTCATTACTTTCTCATAACTTAGGATATGATGTTCAGGCAAATAGTCTGGTTTGCGCCACTAAGGATAGTCATCAATATATGTAATAACTGTAGGCAATGACTTCAATAAAAAAGTAAGCATTTATAAAGATTCTTGTAAAATAACATATTTTCCACCAATCTATGGAGAATATTAAATAGATTCTCTGTTTTTCTGGATCCTTTCCGGTAATACAAAAATATGAATGACCAGCAAAACAACACACACACAAAAACACAAACTTATTTACGAGTAATACTTATGATACTGCACAATCAAAACACTAACTGAAATGTTCTGCACATCGTCACATCCAGCTTTCTTCCACACCATCTTTTTCTGACCATCAAGTTATAAATAATTCAGCCAACTCCACAGCAATGTAAGTAAAACACGCTGCTCACCATTCATCCTGACCGGGCAGCTCGTGGAGCCAGGTCACCGGGTTCTCTCCCACAAAGCCCATGTCATCGTGGGAACTGGAGGATGATTGGTCGGAAAGATGGGCAGGAAGCAGGGGCGGCCTATCGTCTTCGATCATCACTATGTCGTCCTGCGGCATGTTCACTGTCGGAGACAGCTGGTGGTTACCTGAGAGAGAGGGATATACAGTAGATTAGTTTCTTCACACTTATTTAACACAACACTGCATCAATACTCAATATTTTTTGGAATGAACAGTGTCTGATAACAAGTTGACAAGTTAGACTGAGGAATTACGCGCACAAGCTGAAGTAATTCTCTAACACACACACACACACACACACACACACACACAGACACACACACACACACACACACACACACACACACACACACACACACACACACACACACACACACACACACACACACACACACACACACACACACACACACACACACACCACACACACACACACACACACACACACACACACACACACACACCACACACACACACACACACACACACACACACACACACACACAGAGATAACTTTGGCCAAGATAATTGTATTATGGAGCTTTCATATCAGGACATGCCTGAAAGAAAACCTATAATAAATAATGGTGCTTATATGCTTCCATTTTGAAATGTTGCATACATACACAAATAATGTGTGACAAGACAATATCAGAAAAATTGTAACACTTGTGAAAAATATACAAAAATAGACTACAAAGCTCTTAAAGAAAGGTAGTATATTAAGTATATAATGATATGTATATTAAGCAAGAGTCTCTTAATGTCACAGACACAAGTTGTAGCCCTGAGGAGTTTTATCCATTCTCTTTCACTCTTCTCCAAGGACAAATATGAGCAGGAGTAGAGCTCCCCTGATCTGTATTCTGGACTTCCGCACCCTTCCTGCTGAGGACTTCTTTGAATCGCTACTTTGCTGCTTCTCAGGAGACAAAGTCAATGGGGAATGTTCTGTCGTGGTTAGCACTCCGCACCAAGGGCAGGCGAAGGGTTGTTCAGCGGCATGGGAAGTGGCATTACAATACAGAGGAGGACGAGTCACTCTGCAGATTGATCTGTGCATGACTTACATATGAAAGCAGAGAAAGACAAGTGACTTTAACCACACACCTGCTAGCTGTTAGATATTGGTTTACAGAAATGCTGGACTTCCTGTGGCCCTTTGCTTTTGTTTCCATTATCGGAGAGCCATTTTTCAAATGTAATAGCTTAGGAACAATTGTGTGTAATCACTAACAGCAGACAACAACATTTACCCTGGCAGCGTACCAACATGAATCTGAGAAGCATTTCATTTCAATGGAGCCCGACGAATGATAAACGCATATTGTGGAAGGAAATCTGAGCACCAATCCACGTGGCAATGAGGTGATTAGCGTAGTCCAGTTATTTGCAGAGAGAAACAAATATATAACAAAAACAAGATAAAAAGCAGAACAGCTGTGCAGGAGAAGGAAACCAAGTTGGACAAATAACGTACCTCTCCCCCTTAAAAAGGCACAGGAACTATAAAATGTGTATAATCTGGGTTATTCTTCATAATGTGTCAGGAGTCTTATTATTCGCATGTGATGAAAGAGATGTATTATACCTTATGTGAATATGTTCCAACTAAAGGCTTCAAATACAGATCTTCAGGAGGCTACTTTACAATATATTTTCTATATCTTAATATCCTTGTACTCCCTTGAAACAACATACAGGATAGGGAAAGTTGCTTTATACCAAAACTTTCAAAAAGTCTGCTTCTATCCACTACTTATCCATCTGTTCATTGATTATATTGGAAGGCTCATCCCTTTTGTCTATTGACTGCTCATCTAAACCAGTTAATATGTCTGCCAACACTGTACGGGTGGAATGAAGGCCATTTCTCACTCGGGCAGCTTGACAGAGGACCCTGGGTAATTGAATTCCCCCTGTACTGTAAATTATCAGGACTGGATCATTGACAGTGATAAGCTTCAGGAAGTCGGCTAGACTAAGCTTGGCTATCACTTGCAAAGCAGGCAAACCCAGTAGAGAAATCGTGAGTGAAAAAAAGCATTTCCTGTTGCAGCCTTTGATCGTTACTATGTATTTACAAATAATGTGTTCATGGTTTGAAGGATCTAAGTATATTCTAGCTATTTTCTCTTAATAACATAATGTTGTGTGGCTTATCCTTGATACAATAGCTCTGGTAAATCATCGGATTTCTCGCACAACTCAACTAAGCCAGTTCTCAAACACTCTTCCATAGTCATCTTCTGTTTCTGTGTTACAGTCCTTTTAGCAAAAGTGCAGCAATGTCAAGAGGGAAATGCCCTGCGGCTGTGTGTTCTCCAGGTATTTCCTAAACCATTCTTTACTCTCCCTTGGCTTTTGAGTAGAATTACCTCTTGGTTGCATCAGCAACACTGAGAATTGCACTTCAGTAGCCACCTGGTACAGAAGAATCATATAGTCGGGAAGAGCTGTTTTGTCAAAAGAAGCACTATAAAAGCGTTGGTGTGTTTTTCACATACACAACACATGAACATTTCTTGGCATTCCCAATGTGCACTCTAATCACCTTACATTCACTCATGTCAGCAGAGCACTTTGCTAACAGAGGACACAGTTTTAATTAGAAACTCGGCAGGCTCCCCTCTCCTGGCTTAATGAAATATTTCCAGTCAGGACCTCTTGACTCTGCAGATGAAGAGTTGTTAAAGTCATTCCACTTCTCCCTGGTGGACAGGTAAAGTTGGGGCCACGCTGATGACTGAACATAATTACAGCACTTGCTTTTCTGCAGGTGTCAGCATAATAAGCACAGAGGGAAATCACCCACGAACAAAATGTCAATGCAGTGCGCAACACTACTGTACATTTGATAAGACAAATACAACTAGTTTTGTTATGTGCTTAATGGCTGTTTGGTGACTGACAGATAATAGGCAAATGACAAGAGTGGAGAAATTAGGTGCATGCCCTCTTACTGTTTTACAACTAGTGTTTGACTTATAACTAGGTGATGACTTGTTTATTATAAGAAGATGATTGTGAAAGCAAACAAGTGCTGATGTATTAGTGAGTGGATTCATTCTCAAGGTCTTGCTTTTGTTTTTATGTTCTTTTGTGTCTGCTGAGCTTATTTTGGAGTGACATTTACTTTTTCTTTCCCCTGCCAAATGGAACAATAACCACAGGCATCTAAACCTTTGAGTACTGTGAATGTAATTATTGTTTTACCCAAATCACAGAACCGCTATCAACACGCTGTTTTACGGTCTGTGATGACCTCGGCCAGCCTTAAAAACACTAGAGCCTTTCAGTTGATGCGTGCAATGAAAGCACAAAGAAAGAAAAAACAAACACTGATATTACGATGCCATCACAAATTGAGCAGCAGTCACAGACATATCTTAGAGACTTTTACATGGGGTCCAATGAGGATGAATATCATTGAAAAAATGGTTCACAGAAGCCAGCTCTTTCACAAAGGCTTGTTTGGCATTTGTTAAAGAGCTTCTTAATAATGCTAACCACCCATGCAGCTAGGGAAGGAGTTATCTGGAAACATGATTGTGCCACTGTGGTCTTTGTCACACTGTAATTAAATATAGCTTTTCACGAGTCACGCTTACAGAAGCTGACACACACTACCCGACAGCTAAGAAACAACTCTTACATTCACCATCTATTCTGCTAAAAACAAACGCACAATGCTGGGAGGGGCTTTCATATGAGGCAGTCATATTTAATAAGGTTTAAACAGGGTCAAAGTGTGATAACTGTGGCTGTTTATTTTAATGTCATTTGTTAGGCAGACATTTTGACTTGTCAGAGTAGCAAAAGGACTTATAACACTAACATGGCTTTGTTCTTTCACATGTTCCAGTGAGAGTGACGGTTAGCCAATACTCACGATACCGGGAACCACACATTTAGGCAGCTAAAATGAATTTAGACACGATTCATTTAAATAATTACACTTGTGCTTTTCATACAGTGTCAAAATGTATTTTATGAAAAGGCTCATCGGGTCATGGAAAAAAATATTTAATTTGGTTTCAGTTTTGGTTGGTTTCAGAAGCACATGCAGCCCTCTGGCCAGCAATGCTCGGCGTGTGGAAGCTATTTCATGATACGGAAGCAGAGATGTTCTCCGTCCCTCTGGCAGAGAGGGGAGACAGAGACAGATGAGCTCTTTGGCTGAAGAGGCCACCTGGCTGCATCCATCCGAACGGATCAGAGCCTCACTCTCCTCTCTCTCTGCCCTCTGACCAAGCGTTGCCCGTTGAAACATTGAGCTGTAAGGTGAGAGGTCACACTAATAGCCCCACTCCATCTTCTTTTCTCTATGCAATTCCCTCCATTTCTGTCCATCAAACACTGTGACACTTCTTTTTCTCTCTCAAGCACCCTCCTTCAGTGACTCTATGGCCTATTGATCTGACTGGAGGAGAGATCATCGCTGCCACTGCTATCAGGCCCATACATGTATTGCAGCAGCTCATTATACTAGCACCCAATTCTTATGCTCACCAGAGGACATTGGGGGCATTTTCATGAACTTTCATACTAAAGTTTAGTTCATTTGGGCCAGCTTTAACACCAGCCTTGAATTAACTAAATGGGTAACACACCAATAGTTTTAAAACCAACTAAAACCAATGAGTAAATGCAAATGATCAGAAAATGAGGACATATTCTACTGGTATATGTGATCATTTGTAAAGCTTCAAATAATACCACTTGTTTGGCATGTTGAGGGGTTCAAACCTTTTTAAAGGTCAACCTACAGTATCAACAGTATATAAGGAAGATGTACCCTCCTCTCCTAGTGTGTTAGTTGTTAGAAACTTGCCATTACATTAAAAGATACTTAAACATGTAATTATACAAATGGAATCTATTGTACAGTTTGTCCCTAAAGCAAAAAGGCAGTCTGGATCATTTTAAACCAAATACCTGGTGCATTGTACTGTGATCATGTGTGTGTGTTTCTTTCAAGCACAAACATGAATCACAACATTAGATCATTATATTGTAAATGTAGCCATGCTGAGCTGCACACCCACTCGGCTGTTTTTACTCTGGTTAATTACACTCCTGCTCATGTAGAGGTTGGGAGGAGCCATGCCGAAAAACATGTGAGGTCACCAAACTTCATGGAACAAGCAGAATGATGAAGGAGAAAGTTCTCTTAGCATAGCAGGTGCAACAAAAATCATGTGAAACCAATCAAGAAGATTCTGTGCACACCCACACAGTGCAGGGAAGAGGGCTAATTAGACAAGTGATAACTACTGTGTAGGTGGACCCATAAATAGTTGTCATGTTCAGAACTATACTTTAAAAATGGTGCTATTATAATAGTGTTATCATTTAGACTTGAATGGTTATACAATTTGTATCATTTGTATTAGTTAGTTCTCGGTGTCCCTTACGGCATTAACTTTTCTTTGATGAAAAGCAGATTATATAAAATGAATTGTAGCTTCAGTTTCAAGCTCCTGTTATTGTGCTTTGACCGACGTGACACTCAATTATAAAAGAGTTACTACTAATGTTATGAGTCACAATTATGCACGTCATTTTATTTGGGACAATATGTTCAAATTGCTGCCTTAAGAAAGATTATAGGTGCTTTAAAAGTGTTTTGACATAATATTTTACAAAAGTGTGTGGCAAATACACCTTTTTTTTTGTTCAAACCACATCAGTGTCGGTGTCATTTTCTCCCCGGGGCACGCTTACAGCAAGCAGTCTGGACACCAAATTAAGTCTTGCACTGATGGCTGAGCATATAGAGAGGAAGAGTCTGCAGTCGGTGAAATACTGGAGTTTAGGGGACAGCAGGGTCAAGTCCGGGGAAGACGGTCCCACTTAAACACCATTAGGGAAGACTCTGTCTGCCTGAGGACAGCCAGAGGTCAGTGTGTTCTTCTAATTGTGTGTGTGCTCTGCCCTTTTAATAACTACATATCGTCATAATAATTGAACCAAGTGACTAACATGACGGAACTTTGCAGCCACAAACTTCTGTCAGTGATTCTTTTGGATTTGGGTCAATGTCTACAGGAATATGCACACTGACCACCTACTTTCCTGTGTGAGAAGAAGCATGTGTCTGCCTGCATGGTTTTGCCACCTCCGGCCTCCCTATCCCTCCCTCACTCACTCCAGTGCCAGTCCAAGGTATGCTTTCTAACTCATGCATCCGGCCAAACGTTCACAGAAAGCCTCAGTCCAAGGGCCTCAATTTTCACCCCAGCGTGTGAACCCCGCTCCCATCTGCACTTTTCAATTAAACAGAACGGAAGGCGAAGCCGAGTGTGATGCTAACGACCTTTGCGTCAAACCTCAGCTGTCGCTGTCAAACTGTGCAGATGCAGGCGATTTCACTCCATATGTACTTCTCCTTTAATTCACCTTTTCTTTCTTTCTGTTTTTCCTCCTTTGAGAGAGAAATAATCTCTGCTGATTCACTGCTTTCACCCCAAGGGCAAAAGGTGGGTGGGAGTAGAATGAAGGCAGCACAAGAAAAGAAAAGTGTCAGGAACTCATTTTATTTGAGCGGGGAGTCAAGCAGAACGTACTGTATGTTCACCACCTGCTAGCTGTGGATTCAGCCTGTGGCCATGATGCTGTGATGCATGGTGTGTGCATGTGTGAAGCCGAAGCTGACAATATCACAGCATCGCATGGTCTACTGAGGCAAACGGGGAATAGGATTACCTCTGACTATTGATCAGCTGAATGTGTGTGCCCACGGACAAACACAAACGCACCGACACACAAACAACTTCTGAATTACAGCCTAAACACTACAGGGAAGATCAAGGCAAAGTGCCCTTACAATCAATGTAATGGTGCCATACCAGCTTAATAGCACCTCTCTCCTTCCTGTGCCATTTGGTGCTTTTCTTTGCTGTAACCATGGTAATCATAGTTCCTATAATTATTTGAATTGTACCTTACCCTCCATGGAGACCAAGGTATTCTTTCAGTTTTAGAAGGAAATTGTGACTGCTGGGAGTAAAACAAGCTGGTCCAGATTCTGATCAATACCTGGCTGAGTTGAGATAAGGCAGTAATAGAACTCTCCAGATGCTTTTAACAGAAAATAGAGAATGTAGCAATAACAATATTAGTTTGGCTGAACTATGTAGTTTACAATTCTGCTGTATTGACTTGCTTTCATCTGCTACAACTCACAATCAGAGTCAGATTTTATTCTTAAGCAGTAAAAACCTTCCATCCTAGTTACCTCTGAGCCTTTGTCAATTTAAAGCAGTACAGGCAGAATAATGGATCAATCGAGAGGAAGTGATTTAGTTAGAGAATCCGACTCTCCGCTGTCTTTGGAGATGTAAAATGTCTCAGAATTTTGTCAGTAATCAATATTTACTCTTAAGGAAAAATGTATGGCTTGCATTAGTGGAAACAGGCTCTAACCTTATGGAGAAGTTGTACTTGAGAGTGCCAAGTATGTGGGTCGAGCTATATCTTCCCGTATCCCAAACCTCGCATCTTGCTTACGACTCGGTAATCCAGCAGGTCTAGATACACTCGGCATCCAGCTGTCAGTCAAGCCCTAGTGGCTGTGTGCTTCGTGACCTTGCCAAGCTGATCCCAGCATCTGTCCTCTAACCATTACTGTCACATCTCACACACCAGGCAATATGTCTAAGCACGTCTGAAATAACATATAGAAGAAGATAGAGAGTGGAAACAGCTACTGTCTATCAAGCCTGCAGAAAAGTAGTATCCACACATACAAATACATTTTAACTTATACTGAGTGAGGAGACGGCGAGATTATAATGTTACAATGTCTCCAAGTCTGATTATCTATAACCTTATTTCAAACCAAAGTGGGTAAGTGTACTAGTACAAGAGAGGGAACGAATACAAATCCACTTTTAATGAATATGAATGAGTAAGATATGCCAGGAATACTGACACGTTTAACTTTCAAAGTAAATTGTATGTCATTTGATTAAGGTTAACTAAATCTCAGCTCTCTTTTGTCAATGAGATGCAAGGTCATTGCCACTCGCTTTTCTGCCAGAAAAATGGCAAACAAAAAGATCAGATACTCAGCAAAAGGCAAGAAGTGGCCAAACCCTAGGAAGCAGCATATAACTGAATCTCTTCCTCAGGTGCTGCATTGTACCTGAGTGCAGTGGTGTTGCTCTGATGAATATAAACTCAACTCTGACTGTATCATACATTTAAATAACGGAATTGTGTCAAGACCTGTCACAGAATGTAGGCTCAGGTTAATGAAGGCACGACTCAGAGACAGCCTCTAGACAAAAAAAGGAAAGGAACTGACATTTTGTTTCCTCAAGACAAGTCAAGTCAAAGATCTGAGACTCCGCTGAGCTTCGGCTGTGATAACTTACTGCTTCAGCACCCACTCCGCCCCAACCCACAAAACTTTTCCACTTGGCTCATTTGACTCCCACTCGGCAGGATGACATGAGTGTTGGGCGCCCTTGAAGTTTCAATGGCAAGAAACTTTTCCATCAGCACGCCCACATTTGCCGCTTATGATCACAGCGGCATTCTGAAAAGCCTGCGTCGGAAAAGCCATTGGAATAAATAAGCCAAACTGAGGGGGAAACATTTGATATGAGACAGGATGAAAGGGTGAAGAAAAAGAAGGGGAGAGACAGACAGAGGGGGAGAGAGTGTTAGGGGCAAGCCCTATTGATCTGGAGGCTTAATTAACCATCAGATGCCTCTGACACAGCCTCTGATCTCCTACGATCAGTGGCAGAGTGGCACCGCTCTGGGGGAGATGGTGGGGAAAAGGGAGAATGGATGGAAGAAGGGCAGAAAGTGTAGATCGTTGACAGATTACAAATCCACTCCATCCGAAAAGAGGAGGGTGGACAGGTGGGAGGTGAAAGAGGAGAGAGAGCGAGGGACTAGGAGATCATGAGACTGTGGAGAGAATAAAACGTGAAAGGAGGAGTTCAGAGAAAGAAACATATAGGAAATTAGTGCACAAAGTCTACTGAGTGTTTCATGAAAATGGGATTTGTTTGACTACACTGCATCACCCTCCACAAACACACCCTCCCCCAACACCGATGCAATCATCCAGCCTCTGAGCGTATGCATATGTGAAGGGTCTGTCGATGTTGGGATGACAGCAGTGACTGACCGAGGATTGAATTGCCAATTCTAATACACCTGAAGAGAGGAGATCTTAGCACGCTGATGTCAACTTGGTGAAATGGAAATTGACCCGAGTGCGGGAGCGGAGTGAAGGCAGGGAGGATTGGGGTTGACGTTAATCCCTGATAGTGAAATAGCGCACCTCGAGATGCAGAGCAGTGAGGGGGGATGAGGGTTTGAAGGTGATGCTGGTTGGGGGTTTAGGGGAAGGAGATAGGAGAAGCACATAAGGGCTGGGGTTGGATGTTAAAGTTGATCAGGAGATGTCAGTTTACAGACAGCCCCAATCCAGGGGAAATATATCCAATGAGCATGAGGTTAACAGGTCAAGTACACTCCTAATCAATGTGAATGGGGAGTGATTGGTCCAAAATGTGTAGAGTCGTTCTCTTTATTAGAGGTTGAAAGAGACAAAAGGGTGTTAAAAGGGAGGGTGACACAACGTAGAGGACTCACCAATGCGTCCGATTGTATTAGCCTGCGGTTTAGTGTGGTTTTCCAAGCTGTCAATGCTTTCATACAGGGAGTTTGAAATCCGGCGCTCATGGTTGTCCAGTAGAGGGTTCACAGGATTCATTAAAACTGGAGGGCTTCCGGGGGCTTCCTACAGAAAACAGGAAAAAGTATAGTGTAAATGTATGTTCTTCTTAATCAAATATAAAGCAGTAATATTATATAGGGCTATTTTAATCAAAGACGTTTGAGATATAATACATTCATAACTTAATGGCTCAAGGAAATCTCACATATTTGACGTCACTCTACTACTAAGACTACTACTACTAATGCTTTACTACAACTTACAGCAATAAGTAACATTTATTAACTCAAATGTAGATGTCTTGCATTATTATGTACAGTATATTATAAACCCTGATAATTACTATTACATATGATTGATTGTGCCTTTTGAAATGAAATGTGTTTTTACTTTTTTGTATGCATGTAGTATATACACCCAAAAGAAGGAATTGGTCTATATAAAATGTCTCCTAATGTGCTTCCATCAATACCCTAGAAACACGGAACCGGGGCCTCAGCATCCATCTCGGCTTACGTGGGTATTTTCTGGCTCAGCAGTGTGAAACGGCTCCTGAAGTAGACCGAGCTGGATAAAGCTCCATGGATTTCCCATAGGCCGATAGACAGCTGTCTCTAACAATGAACCCTAGTAAATGGACCAGTGACATTTGCCATGTGGTCGATATGCCTGCACTGTTGGATATTGAGCCCACTGTATACACTCAGTGCATGTGTCAGTCTTGGCAGGGGGGGACACAGTTAGCGGTTAGTCTTTGGGTCTGGAACCACTGGGCCCAGCTACTGTGTCCGGTCTTCATGAGCCAATAGTCTGTCAAATGTATTTTTAGGATAGAGACAATGGAGCGACTACAGTGTGAGTCAGGATGTAGAGAGGGAAACAGCCACGTGCAGAGAATTATAGAATAAAGCTTTGGTCTTGGCCTTATTTCTCATAATGCTTCATAGAAGCCTGTGGACAGCCGGGGGAATGCACTGAAGAAGAACTCCCTGTACAAGATCTTTTACAGATTGCCCCCTCACAGCTAGATAATTTTGCGCGGTTCAACTTTGGACCTCCAGCCTGATTTAAAACCAGGAGGCGCTGGCTAATATTGATGTCTCACAACACTGCTGGCTCACGGCCAGGGGACTGAAAGATAGGACAACAACTGCAGCAGGAAGACAGGAGAGCAGGAGGAGGTGGTGGGGAGTTTTCAGTAAACAAATGAAAGGAATAACAAGGAAGAAAGAGGAGGGGTTGGAGCTGAATTCCAAGTGCAGTGTGGGTGTTGCCAAGTGGCCTCCTCTTGGGGTAGCGTGCACTAGAAGACACATAGCAGGGTAGAGGGACTTATCGGCTGTTTAATATAAATTAGAGGTTTAATGAGGTTGAGCTCGCCGGACTTTATCGGGACAGCGTGTTGATAAGAGCTCGGGGCGAGTAGGGAAAGTGTGTGTGTGTGTGTGTGTGTGTGTGTGTGTGTGGGTAAAAGGGGGGCTGGGTCAAACAATTACAATCAGAGCCACGGCCACAGGCAGCCTTATAATAAAAAGCATGTCCCTGGATGAATCAGAGTCAATAAAGCTCAAATTGCCGAAATAAAGATTTATTTTACTCGCCTCTCTTTAACTCAACCCCTCTCTGCTCTTGTTTTAATCTACTTCAGGTCTGTCATGAGTTGAATGGAAGTAAGATTGAGTGTTCCAGGTAAGAGGTAGGAAAATGTGTGTGGATGAGAGAGTGAGCAGCTGAAAATCAAATGATATGAAAACTATGTAGAGAATGTGTCAAGAGTAATAGATCTCAGACGGACCACTATGTAGCTGCCTACTTTTATCTCTGAGCGTAGAACAGACTCGTTTAAAAAGCATTAAATTGCTCCTCTGGCAAATAGACTTTAGAATCAACTTCACATAGGCAAAATGGCAGCTATTTAATCTTTGTGTATCCAGTATTAATTAAGTGTGCCTCTGTGCATGCTAATGCGTTAGCACACTGTGCATGTTTACTGACTTGCAAATGTTTACTGACTAGTGCATGACAAGCAGGCATGTACAATCTTCGCTCCCTGCTTTCACCAGATTTGTCATTGTGATTCAACACTTTGAGGCAGCAACATATGCATTTTGTCATAAATGCAGCAGAAGGAACATGCTAACAAAGTTAATTGGATAGTTATTAGCATCAACCGGCTGTTCCATCTCCCCGCCTCCCGAAGTCCGTAACCTGGGTGTCATCCTTGACTCTACTCTCTCATTTCAGTCACACATCAAATCCGTCACTAAGTCTGCCTTCTATCACCTCAGGAACATCTCCCGTCTACGACCATCACTCTCTGATTCCGTGGCCGAGACCCTCATTCATGCATTCGTCTCCTCCCGGTTGGATTACTGCAACGGAGTCCTGTTCGGGGTTCCCAGTAAAGCCCTGGACAGGCTCCAGTATGTGCAGAACTCGGCTGCCAGGGTGCTCACTCACACCAAGCCCTGGCAGCACATCACCCCCACCCTGATCCACCTCCACTGGCTCCCAGTCAAGCACCGTATCACCTATAAACTCCTTCTTCTGACTTACAAATCCCTCCATGCCCTCGCCCCCCAATACCTGTCTGACCTTCTCTGCTACCACACTCCATCCCGGAAGCTAAGATCATCTGGACAGGATCTCCTCTCCACCCCCCGCACCAGGTTGCGGACTTTTGGTGACAGAGCCTTCAGTGTGGCATCCCCCACCCTCTGGAACTCTCTCCCCCCCGAAATCCGCAGCGCCCCAACCCTAGACATTTTCGAAAAAGCCCTCAAAACGCACCTTTTTACCAAGGCTTTCGCCACTGTATAGTTAGTTTAATTGGTTTATTTTTCCGCTACTTTCCCCCCCCCCCCACCCCCTTAACCTGTCTGCCTTTTTTCCCCTACTCCCCCCCCCTACCCGACTTGTAAAACGACCTTGGGTTTCCTGAAAGGCGCTATAACAATATTATATATTATTATTATTATTATTAACCATCACATACGTCTCATACATCTTACACATCTTTGGTGTCTGTTTTGTGATTTTAGTTATGTCTTACCACTGGTTCTCCTCACCTCATCATGTGTTTAACCTCTCTTAATCTAGTCATTTTCAGAGTGGATTATCCTGTTGATTGAGGGACAGAGCACTGTGACTTACACTGAGCACAGTCAAGATCCTCTGCTGCTCATCTCCCCGTGGACTTACTAAGCATGCCTGTGTTTGTGTGTTCAAGGTAATGCTGTTACTGAATGTAGTGGGAGAGTGTTTGTATGTGTGGATACCTGTATTCATGTGTTGTTGTTTATATGCTTTCGAATGCATGCACGAATGTGTTTTTGCCCGTGCATCAGCATCTCCCTGACCTTGACTACTCTGTGAGAGAGAAGCAGCAGTGTGTTGACAGTGCTGGTCTTAAGCTGTCAACTAAGGCTAATAATGTCGAGGCCATGGCCATTTCCTGGCCTTATATCCAGGTCTCAGCCTGTTGCCATGGCCCTAATCCAGTCAACCTCCACCATAATGCTGTAATTACAGTCCTTAAGCTGCTGCATCCTGCCCCAGGCACAGCTCACCTATCTGCTGGCTAGATTCCCCACTTTCATTAGCTTCTCACATCCACCTAGTCCCTCATCTAATACCAGAGCTTCACAAAGTGAGTGCCCAGGTCTGTTAGGAGCTCTGAGCAAAACTTCACAACCAGCACAACCACATCAGCACAACAACATCAGCAGGGTATGGGAGGAACATCTTAAATCTGTTCTTCCAAATAAAGACATAAGTAACTTGCTACAGAGATTTTAAAAAAGAACCCAGAGACAATCCAAGGGAAAGTCAGGAAAACTCAACGTAAAAATCCACTGACGCAATATGTCCGATCACCAAAAGTCTGTCTTCGTCATTGTGATCCATCAAATAGTAATGGGAGATATCCCGGAAATGGTAACTGGTAAACCAACCAAATAATAATAATAACATTGCAATGGTTTGAGGTCGGCTGGTAGCATGGCTAACAATACAAATGCAATAAAAACATTGAAATGTATGCCCACAAACGTTATTAACATATAGAGCTCAACAATGTTTGGGGTTGTCTTTACCTCATTGTTGGCTATAAGGTTCACCACCTTTATTACATAGTAAGACAAATAAGACATAATGCATCATTGTCACAACTTATAGTATTGTTTTTTGTAAAAGGCTCCCATTTTAAATTCAGCACACAAACTCACTTTTTGTTTAACAGTAAGTAAGTTACTCCAACAGCTCTTCTCTCTTCATGATGGTTCTGTATTTCAGTCATCTGTCCCTGTTAGCAAAGTTCAAGCAGAGTGTAACAGTAATATACAGCTATGAACACCACGTGAACTATGCTGCAAAATGAAAGGAATGTCTGTATGTGTATGTGTGTGTGTGTTTGTGTGTGTGTGTGTGTGTGTGTGTGTGTGTGTGTGTGTGTGTGTGTGTGTGTGTGTGTGTGTGTGTGTGTGTGTGTGTGTGTGTGTGTATTCAAATACATGTGTATGTTGCTTAAAAACATTTCAGTCTTTAGTACACATCCACTGCCCTCCACCATGCCCAAGCAGTACACTCAACCACCAGATTCAATATATTATTTTCTCAATTGGTGCTATTGAGTTTCCCCTGCTGCTCCTAAATGAGTTAGTCCTCAGAGAGCCGGCTGGGAATGAGGGCCCAGCAGCGCTGGAATTGCATTTCTGCTGCTCTGCGATCTACTTTCCTCAATTTAGTCACCCTTTCACTGCAAACTGCATTTCCCAGAGTGCACCGCAATGTGCCCTAACTGTATCTACTTCCCTTGAATCACTATTTGCAATGACAGCAGGGGACCTGTAGTCCCTACAAGCCATGATCTAACCGGACTTCAATCACTCCCTATTAAGACAAGAGGTGGGGGTCCACAAAGATTTCCCTGCCTTTCTACGGCCTCGGATGTGGGCCAGCATCTCAATGTTTTAAGGTCCCTCACAGCAGAGGTTAGCTCAATACTAATAAAACCATAATTTACTAGGCCAAGCCTCTGATTGATAGCTCTCTCAGGGCTCTAT